TGCGATTTCTTAATCTCAAGAAATTGCAATTTTAAGATTTGCATTCAGGTGATGCAATTCTTTTGACCGCCACTGTAGGTCATAGATATCAAGTAATTACGCAGAAATGTAATTCCAAAACTGTCAAGTGTCGATTTGCGTCAGATGTTCGATGGGATTACTAAATTTAAAAATGATCGGTCAGTGATGTTAGAAATTACAAAAATGGGCCGGTAATTTAGACCAGCACAACAGAAATTTGATGCAAATCGACACCTGACGCACAACATTTAGAAAAACTGAAAGTATCTTCTGCCTTAAATTCATGGAACTTAATTTTCAAATTTTTGAGTTGGCGAAACAATAATGAAGAAAGATCAATATTTAATTTTTTGATTGAGTAATATGTCATTGAATGTATTTGTGATATTTCCTATCTGTTACATTGATAATTTGTACGTTTGATCATCATCATTCTACAAAAAAATTTTTATTAATTTATTAATAAATTATAATTATATTAATTAACCCGTTAAACTATTTTTATCATTTTGGAACTGAAACCTGAGCAATACAAATCTTGATTATATTAAATATTAATTTTGTAAAATAGAAAGTTATTCAACCTTACTCTATAAATGAAAATGTGGAGCTGCTTTTTTTATCAATCGCTACATTGACGAGCAAATTGTCAAATAAACCGGATAATAATGATTTACTGAAGCATATCATTCATTTTGAATTTAGCAGAATTAATATCTTGTGTTTAGTAAAAATGGTGGAGTCGTGCACATTTTACAAAATATTTTAGCAGTGTCAATATGATAATGCCTATTTATTATGATCTTTGGAGTGATTCATGTTCCGCAAGAAAAGAAGTTGCAGCCTTTGATTTTTGAGTTCTGGCATTGTCTTCTTAATACAAACCATTAATTTTTGAAAACATGCACGTCATTGTGTGCGTAGCATGGTTTTGCAGTATTTCAACATGTGTAGTTCCAGTCACACAGATCCATAAAGTGGCACAATTAGACCCACTCCTTGGCGTGAAAAATAACCTCTATCTGAGTCCACGCTGATTTCTGAACCAACCATAATTAGGAAGTCCTGAGAAGCGAAACAACCCAAAATGAAACCTAGAAGACGCAACATCGAAAAAGAAAAAAATATAGAAATCATACAGCCATCGCTCCCTGAAGTTATGGAACCCGAAAATTAAAAAAAGAAAGGACAAAAAAAAAATAATGGTAATTATTGCTGCGGCCCGCAGCGCCTCAAAATAATAAAAATCTTACCTATTCGGCTCGCAAATGACCAGGTCATTTGACCAATTTTTTTTTAGTGACACCAAAATACCGGTCTTTTCTAGGTCATTTGTCATTTAGAACTTGTTCTCCAAAAAAAACTATTTTTGATCATATGGTTTCCAAGATTAGTTCATTAAAAGCCGCATTGACATAATGGGTAATTTTTATTTTTGGCTGCGTCAGACAACTAAAACAATATGGCAAATGACCAGGTAATTTGGCCATTTTGTTAATGTTGACATGAAAATAATAAATAATATTATATGGGACCTTTGCAATAGAAAAGGGGGAAACGGCTGGAAAAAATAAAAATTGAGTTAATGCTAAATCTGAACATATTTTGACTTAAAAATCATATTTGGCATATAAAAGTAAAATTGATTTTTTCCGGCAGTTTCCCCCCTTTCTATTGCAAAGGTCCCATATAACGTACTAAGAGAAAAAGAAAAAATTAATTTCAATACAATATATTTTTTTTTCATCGAGAGTGTCTGGTTCTATAAATTTTTATTCAATAATATATTTTAAGTTAGCAGCTACAGCTGCTGCTATTGATAAATGAGTTCATTTCCTCATATCACCTCATCATGATGAAGATTAATTAAATAAATCTTTGTAATATCAATATGGTAAAATTGGAAAATTGAAATTGCCCCCGTCATAGGCCTCCACCCTTGCATTATTGTGAATATAAATAAGGATGCCGCCCACAACAATTAATCGTTGAAAATTAAACTCGCAAAAATAACAATAACAAGAAATAACAAGAAAAATGAACAAATCAATTAATCTTCTTTTTATTATTTCCTTGGGTCTTCTTTCCTTCTTCGTCTTTAACACCTCTGCTGCTTGCGTTTCTACTTCTTGCACGTGCCCTGTAGGTACCCCGCAAGGACAATACTGTGGTGGTAAGTAATTGAAATTTCTGTCGTCTTCGTTTGCTCCGATTCATTACTTGTCGTCTCTTTTACACTTTTCTTTTATTTCTTTCTCAGACATTCTTCCTAGTTCCAATTGCATATCTGGGAATGTCTATGAATGCAATCCTGAAGGTGGCGCATGTGATTATGGCGTTAGAAAATCCTGCGTTGAATGCGGTTGTTTGAAATGCCCTTGTTAAGTTGTTGTATAAGTTAGTCATGATTGTTTAATGTCGTTATATTGTAAGAATAATAATATTGTTACATCGTAAATTTTTTATTTTAACCCGTCATATAACCTAATTATATTTTGCATTTTTAATTTTCTTCAGCTTATTTCAATTTCATTTGACATTTTACATATTATGAAAATTTGATCAATTGTTATAATAAATCAAGTGATAAATATTATATAACATACATATATAATTGAACGTCAAAAATTTCAAGTGAATTGTATAATTACAGTTTACATAAACACTGAATTTTTCATGATTCATCACATCACCATGAACGCATTATTTCATTATACTTAGCTAACGTGTAACTCAAACCATCCATCATTATAACATACATAAATACCGCGCTTATTGCAACACGAAAATGTCAGAATTAAAAACTCGAAATAATTGTTGAGCCCCCAACGACCTAAATATATATATAATGAAAAAGGACGGAAATATCGAAAATTTTTTACAGAATAAATCACTTCCTTTAGATTCCTTGTAAGAATTAAACTCTTTTAATTTATAAAGGTGCAGTATATACAATTTATTGGATAGTTCTAATAAATTATCAAATTTAAATTTTATCGAATAAATATTTACACTACTGTGTACGTTGTAGTTCTAAGTTCCAGCATCTATAAGATGTATCTAAGGTATAGGCTTTTATCCTGTACAAATAAATTTTTTAAAGTTTTAAAGTGATAAATATAGTTGCTTAATAGGTTAAGATCAAAATAATTAACTTTGCTGATTGTATCTCAGATTTCACTATTAACACGAAAAGTAATTGAAGTTGAATCATAAGTTTTATTTTATTTGATTCTCCACGCAATAATTGATCAATAGAATCTGAGAAATGGCTTTGATAACGAGAAATAATTTCCTTCACTCCATCAACGCTTGACTTTTAAATAAAAATAAAGTAAAATGAAAATCTTTTTTGAAATAAGGAATTATAATCACCGCTTTTAATTTTAGGGGTTTAGGCGAAAGATTTTTCACTTTTTGTTATGAGAATGGTTCATTCGCCTTTTTGTTCATCAATTTCTGTAGACTAATAAGGTGTTTTGGTCGAACTTAATTTGTACAAAATATCTTCTTGTTTTGTAATCTTTTCTTCGCCATTTACTAAAAATTAAATAATTTTACAAGTGATTTTATTGAAAGGACACGTACATTGTTTGTTACAGTAATTCTTTTTCTGAAAATAAATTTATTGTCCCCCGATAAAAATGTTGGTTGTATTACTTTAAAAAGAAAATAATCTTATCTCGAATTAATACTATACAATTTTTTTCCGCGTCCTTAAAAGCTTTGAATTTTTTTTTCTCTCATATTAATTGTTTCTTTGAAATGATTTTCTAAAATGTTCTTTGATTGCAAATGCTTAAAAGACCAAGCTACTTACATCCTTGCTTGTCTTTCAAAAAACCTTTACAAGTTACGATGTTGAAGAAAATTTAATCAATTCAACACTTTTAAGTCGTAAATTTTTTTGACACGAAAAGAGATCAAACTTCAACACATTTAAAAAATTAGATTATAAAAGAATTTCGTTCAATACGATTTACAAACTATTACAACATTGAAAAAGTTTGAATTATAATAAATTATTGTAAATATTACCACCACCACATCAGCAGCAGCAGCAGCAAAAGAAAAACAATTAAAAATTTCAAATAGGAAAAAATGCGTTATATGCATAGAAGTACCTTAATAGAACATTCGAAAAAAGAGATAAAAATTAAATATTTTTTTTTTCTTTACTTAATTAGAAGAGGTGGATCATTTTGTGCAAAGGATGGAGGAGGCATCCTGGAATATTATTTAAATTACTTAATTTACGTTAATTCTTTCATTCCCTTACCCTCTTACCCTTCCAAAAATCCCCTCAAGTTTGATAATTTTATTCTTGACGTAAAAAAGTGAATTTTTTATTCAATAAAATATTATTTCGCCCAATAATATTATCATTGGTTTCAATTATGGTTTTTATTATTATTTTTGTAACATATCTTTCTTTTACAGCCAACGCAATTTATAAGATCTTTGTGTATCTCATGACTACTCGTTGGCATTTACAGCGCGGAATTATTTAATACGGATTTTCTTATAATGCAATCTTATTTATTATTAAATTATAGAAAAAAAAATTATCTAGAAATTAAAGATTAAAAGAATAAAAACTTCGAATAATATTTACAACGGTAAAACAATTTGGACCTTTGCAATAGAAAGGGGGAAGCTGCCGGAAAAAATTGATTTTAATTTTATATGCCAAATATGATTTTTAGGTCAAAATATGTTCAGATTTAGCATTAACCCATTTTTTTTTTTTATTTATTTCCAGCTTTTCTATTGCAATGGCCCCATATATTAACTATATCTCGTGACTTGATTTTAATAGCAACGATTTATTTATCGTTTAAAACTATTTTTTTTAAAAAAAGAAAAAATTAAAATCATTCAAATTAAAATTAATAATATAAAAAAGTAAATTTATTCATCGCAGGCGCGATATCATCGCCTCCTTTTTGTCACCCGTGTCACACCCATCCCTTTTTCATTTTTCATATATATTCTGGGGACTTAGAAATTTTTTCATGTGTGAAACGCTATTTGTCACGTATGTTAGTGTCACATGACATGGATTAGAGTTAGGTTAGGGTTAGGGCTAGGGTAAGGTGTATATATATAAAGGCGATGTATAAGGAGTATCGTCCCCGCGATGAATAAATTTACTCATATAAAAATACTTTAATTACTAAATTATTAATTAAGTAAATATAATTTTTTCTTTATTCAATTAAATAAAATAATTTAACATTAAATTTTTCTTAATAATAAATTTTACAAATATTTTAAATATTTTGAGATTTATTAAATAAAACATTATTAATTATAATTATTCTCAATTAATTAATGTTTTATAATTATTTTTTTTGCTTTATGTTAATTTAAACTTTATTTTATAATTAAGGAATTTTGATTTAAAAAGTGATTTAAATAGAATTATTAGAAGATTAATTTAAAATTTGGAATTAAATTAAGATCAAAATTTAGTATTAGATTATGTTAATTAGTAATTTACACTTTATATTAAAAATTTCTTTTAAAAATACAAATATCTTTTTTATTTATTAATTAATTATATAATATAATAATAAATATTGCAATATATAATAATATTAATAAATAGTTAACACTTTTTATATTCACTCATGTATAGTCACATTTCTCTCTATAAGTATATTTATATTGGCCTAAGTTACTAAAAAAATTTATTAAAAAAAATATTTATTTAATAATATTAAATAGTATTCTATCCTAAATTTATGACTATATAAGAGTTGACTGTATATTGATATAAAAATAATTAATTAAAAAAATTTTTATTAAGTATATAATTAAATATAATTTAATAGTAAATTCTATTATTTATAAAAATATTTAAAATTAAATTTTAATAAATAATTATAAAAAGTATCATTAATAAATTTAAAAAATTATAATAATTATATGTAAAAATAAAAAAAGCTATATAATTTATTTAAATATTAAATTATATAATTTATAATAAATAATAATATATATTTTTAATTGTCTAAAAAGCAAATTTACCTGCAAACTTAAATATAATTATTAATTTCTTAATAATATATAAAATATTAATTTTAATTAGTTCAAAATAAAGTAAAGGACTATATAGGTTAATTGCCAAAAAAATCAGATTTTAGGAATTTTTAACAAAATTGAGATTTTTATTACATTTTAGTTTTTGATGTTATTAGATTAAAATGTATTAAGCTCTTAATTTAAATCAAAAATTTCTCAGAACCTAATTTTCTTAGAAACCTTTCTATATGTTATTATATAAAGTATTTTAATATCTATCTGTTCAATAATTGAATTGATGCTAATTGGTTCTTATAATTATATAAAGTCTAGATAATATTCAGATTTAATAATGATAAATCATTTTTAATTATTATAATTATAAATATTTTTAAAATATAAAATAAATATATGAAAATTTTACTATTAAAATCAAGTTTCAAATATAGTAAATCATATACAGTTAACTCTTGATATAGCAAACTCTTGATATAATAAATTTTTTAAATAAATATAATAAAAATACTCATTATAATGAATTGGCCAATCAAATCTTTTAAAATCTTCACTATAGCCTTATAACGAAGTTGAGGTCTGGGACATAAAATTCATTATAACAAGAGTTGACTGTAATCTATAATATAATTTTAATAAAAACCTTTTATACAATAAATTATTATAAAAAAATTTAAATTTTCAAACTCATATATTTTAATTTTAAAATATAAAAAATATTATTATTTAATAGATCTAATATAAATCTAATAAATTAAATTTTAAGTTTTTATAATTATTAAATAATAAATTATTTTTAAGAATTTAAAAATTGAAAAATTGAAATATATTAATAATTATTTATTTAAAATTAAAATATTACAAACTTTTATAATATCATTAGATGTCAAAATATTATATTTTCTAAAATATTTTATAAATAATTTTATTATTTTATTATAATTAATATTATAAATCAAATTTTAATAATAAAATTTTAAAATTACAAATCTTGAATTTTTATTATAAATTAAAAAATATATATTTATAAATTTAATAATTTTTTAAAAAATTTGTTAATTAATAAATCAGAATAAATTATTAGTAAAAAATTTGAAAAATATATTTATAAACTATTATAATCTAAAGGTAATTATAATATATAATTAATTTTATAATATTATAATTACTATAAATTATAGTAATTTACTATATAATTAAATATTTAATATAATAATAAATATTATAATAAATATAGTTATAATAAACTAAAAGTTATATAACAGATCAAATGATATAGAACAAAGTTAAATAATATGATAATAAACCAACTATCAATTAAAATTATATAATACTAATAGCAAATCATATAACTCAAAACAAAGATAATTCATATGACAAGTAATACAAATATATTAAAGGATACAGATAAATCATAAAATAAAGAAGAATAAATTATTAAAGTTATAAAAAAAAAAATAATAAAGTAACTTTTATAATAAAAGAAAATATAAAAGTTAATTTACAAATATATATAAAGATTATATAAAAGTTCTGATAGAAGAAATTAATAAAATAAAATTATAGAATACTTATGTAATCTTTATTTTCAAAAAGAAAATAAGAAAAAAGTAAAATGAATAAATATATGAACACAAAAAAAAGAGAGAAATTATTATATAAAATATAAAGAATATAAAAGAATAAAAAGAATAATAATTAAATATAAAGTAAAAGAAAAAAATATCTAAAAATAGAGATAATATAATGATAATATTATAATGATATATTAATGATATCATAATAATCTATAATATAAATATGTAATAATCTTTAAAATAATAAAGGAGAATTAAAATGAAAATATGAAACATTGAAGAAAAATTGATAAAGAAAATAGAAATTAGAATAAAAATAAAAATTGGAAACAGAAATTAGTATAAAAACTAAAATTAGTAATAATAGAAATATTAATAAATTTAAAAATAAATATGATATAATAAAAAAAATAGTAAAGATATAATTTAATAATAAGAAAATATTAGTGAAAAGATAAATTAGAAATAAGAATAAAAACAAAAAATTAGAAATGAAAATAAATAGAAAACAGAAATTAGAACAGAAATGAGAAATATTAATAAAAAGAATAGAAATAAAAAATATTAATAAAAAAAAGAGAATAAGAAATATTTTTAATAAATAAAAAAATTAATTAGTAAAATAAATTCACTTAATAATGAATAGCAGAAATGTATTAAGTATATACAGCTATTATTGAAGCTATTAAACTCAAAAATATCATATATTAGTATAATATATAATTATTATGATTAATATTACTTTATAAATTATATAATTTTATTAAGATAATAATAATTATTTTAAATTATTTTATAAATAATAAGAAATTTAGTTATAAATTTCTATTATTATAAATATAAAATTTAATATAATAACTTATAATTTTAATTATTAATTAAATCCTTTATAAAAATATTATAAAAAATTATTAATTTATATTAAATTTATATTTTACTATATATATATATATTTTTAATAAATAATATTTAATATATTAAAAATAACTTTAATTAGCAAATAAAAAGACTATTAATAAATATTATCTTTAATTTTTTTTAATTAAAGATGGTCATCATATTACTTTTAAATTTTAATTGAGTTGTAACTTAATTACACTTTTAAACTTAAACATTATATTATTAAATTAATAATTTGTATTTGCTAACAAAAAATTTAAGTTTATTAATCTATAAAAGAAGTACACATAAGTTAATTCAATTAAAGAATTAGTTTATCTTTATTAATAATTTATATTTAAAAAATATTGAAATAGTAAAAATAAAGTTTTTATGTTAGCAAGATTATACTTTATTGTAGAGATCTGCATAAGTCTAAATTTTAAAGCTCAGCCCAGCCTGAACTTTAAGTTAAGAATTAAAATGTTAGCCTAATTCAGTCTAGGTTAAATTTATGTATTAATATACCAGTCTAATTTAACGTGAATTTAATTATAATTATTGGTAAAGTGAAATTTACAGCTAATTTAAAAGTTATAGAATAGATAATTATTTTGCAGTTTGATAAAAAAACTCAGTATAAAATTTTTTAAAAAATAACATTATCGCTATGTTCAAATAATTATTCTGAATATAGCTATATAATTATTTTACCTATATAAAACTATGAATTGGCTTTTTCAAATTCTTATAAATATTCTTGAAAAATCTCAATTATTATTGGTTATTCTGTAATTTATGAAATTAGCTGTAACAATTTAATCATTTTATTTTTTATAAAAATAACGATATGTATTTTATTTTTACAATTTTTTAACAAATAATTATTATAAATAAATAATTAATGAAGAGTATTTTGTAATACTAAAGTAATATCACTGTTTACAAATAATATAAAATTTAACAATAATATAATATTTTATTATATAATTAGTGGCAACTAAATTTTAATTAAATAATGATTTTTGCCAAAATTATAAAAAAATTCAGACTGATACCTTGAATCCAATCCTGATCCAGAAAATTCTAAACTTATATTTACCAGCTCATATTCAATCTAAAATCTAGGTCTAGATCAGATTTCCATATTAGATCTGGTCCTGTTGCAGGTCTCTACTTTATTAATAATTATAAGATTAAAATTTATCTTTTTTATCAAAATAATAATATATATTATTTATATAAATACAAGTATAATATAATATTTGATATAATAATGATAATAAATATAATTATAATAATAATAATAATAATAAATAAAATAAATATAAATAATAAAATAAACATATTAAAAAAATTATAATAACTGTGATATTAAAACTAGTGATTTTAATAATAATTCTTTTCATAGTAGAGTTATAATCTATTAGAATTTTAGTATCTAAATCATACCTAAATTAAAAAAGTTACTCAATTTCTTATTAGGTATTATCTATTAATATCTATTTACTCTTTACAATATATAATATTAGTAATATCAAAGTAAATTTAGATATAAAGTATTATTTTATATAATTTTAAATATTTAATTTATAGAAAATATATTGTAATAAATAAAGCTTTTTTAAAATCTGCTATTATGAAACATAATCAAATATAAAAACTAGATTTTTTTTTTTAAAAAAAATGAGAAAAATAGTAAAATCATATTAAAATATAATAAATAAATAATAAATATTAAAACAAAAATGTAAAATTTTCAAAAATAATTTTTTTAAAATAAATCAAAATAATTTTGCTTAAATCAAAATTTTTAAAAAATTTTCTTTTAAGATATTTTATATAAAAAGAATATTATTAGCCTATATAAATACATTAAAAAATATAATAATTTTAAGTTAAACAGTTTGATTATATTTAATTGCTACTTTCTTCTTAGGTCATGTAACTTTAATTTTTCAGTTCATGTCATACAGCTGGATCACTTTTCAAATTTTAACAAAAAAAAATTTATATATACAGTCAACTCTTGTTATAGCGAACTCTTGATATAACGAATTTTTTGAACAAATATAATAAAAATACTCTTGTTATAGCGAATTGGCCAATCAAATCTCTTAAAATCTTCACTATAGCCTTATAGCGAAGTTGAGGTCTAGAACATAGAGTTCGTTATAACAAGAGTTGACTGTAAAAAGTTTATTTACATGTAATTTTATTGGTAGATTAAAGCTTATTGTATTATCATTATGTATAATTTCTTTCTTATAACTCATTAATTTAGTTTTATACAGCTTTTCAAGTAAATACATTGTAAAATTTTCCAACTAATATTTTGATGGATTAAACTTCATTTTAAAATCTACTTTCTACTAATCAGGTAATAAATATAGAATTGATACATTTCCAAAAAATCTTTTATATTTCACAGGCAAATCTTTCTAATCCTTCAAAACTTTAGAATTGTAACTTATTTTATATATATAATAGGTATTTTGATAGAGTTAAGATAATTTTAAAATGAATTGTAATAGTCTTATAAATAGGTCAAATAAAGAAAATTTTTAAATAAAATTTTAAATTTAATATGGTTATCCTAAGGAGATTTTTTTTCTTTTTCATATCACAAATAAAGATAAATCTATGTAAATCTGCTTTCTTTTAAACAAATGCCAATTTTATTATATAAGATTACATAAATTTTACTATAAAAAAAAATCCTAAATTTCTATAAACTAACACAATCAGGTTATAATCTGAAAATTTACTTTATATGCCTTGTCTTCTTAAAGATTAACCAATCAGATAGTATAATATTTATATATAAACATTTTATTAATAAAAATTTTTTAATAATAAACTCTGAGTCTCTGGATAAATTTTAAATTTCAATGTTATGTGACTGAAAAATTGAAGTTGTATAACTTTATAGTATAAAATGTAGTATTTTTGTTTATAATAAAGATAGAAATATCTAAGTCAAGATTTTCTTAAAATAGTTAATATTTTGTATTTCAATCATAAATAATAAAATTATTTTTTAATTTTGATTGAATTATATATATAACATTATGAACTAATTTTGACTAAAATTATATAAATCAAAATAAATTGAAATTTTTAAAAAAATTGAAATAATTTTTATTTATATAAAAAAATTTTTATAGGTTTTTGATATTAGATTATTATTTATTATACATGAAAATTATACACTTTTAAATTATGTTTTTTTATTATTTTAATAATTAATTATTTGTATTAATATTCAGGTTTTATTTAGATTAATTAAATAATTATATAATAAATACAAAATGAATATTATTCTTTTTACCATCTTAAATTTTATAATCCAAATATTCATAAATTACTGAATATATCTGAATTATATTGAGTAAACAAATAATAGGTTATAGTTTTATTTTCACATAGTGGAATAATTATTTTGTAATTTATATGAATTATTATTAATAATGCTATAAGTAAATAAATTATATCACAAATTATAACTTAATTATATCATTTTTTTAAATTATAGTTCTTATCTTACAAATTCATTTTATATATACTAATAATAAAAATGTAAAAGTTATATATTTATTAAAAATATTTAATTAAGTTTTATTTAAACTTTTAAGATTGAATATATTAATTAGTAAAATTTTCTTTTATAAAAATTCTAAGAAATCAAATTTAAAATTTATTAATTAAATTAAAAACTTAATCTAATAATTAAAAAATAGGTTTTGCAATTAAAAAAATGACACAATTGATTTAACAACTCAATTAAAATTTGAAAGTTATTATAGAAACTATCTTTACTAATAATATTACAATAATTATTCTAAATTTATTAAAAGTTCACAGAATTTAAATATATTTAATCTAAAAATAATTGCAAATTAAGTATAAGTAAATTATTATTATTTTGAATAAAAATAAGCTTATGAAGTTATTATTCATATTTCATAATATGAAATATTTATTATTAATTAATGAATAAAAGAACTAAAAAAGAATGTTAAAAATTCTTTTTGAAATCATTAACCTAATTAAAAATATAGCATATTATATTAAGTTGAAATATGTATTATAAATAAAATATAAAATTTTATATTAATAGATCAAATAAATTTAAAGTTAATGAATAATATTCATATAGACTATTCAAGTGGAAAAGTAAGAATTGTTAGTGATAATATAATATTTATAAAATAAAGCATATTTTTATTTCATTTCTTCTTAGAATTTATGACTATTTACTTAATTTTTATTACATACTAATTTTAATGATTTACGAAATTGCAATTCAAAAAAAAAAAATTTAAATTAAAAAATGTAGGATACTTGAAATTTTCATTTATTTGTTTATTTTTTATTGTTTAAGGGTAAGAAAATAAGAAAAGTGTTTTTAAAAATTAGTGATACTTTGGCGCGAAATAGATTTTTTACCAACGCCAATAACGTACGTAATTTTCTTTGGATATGTGAATAAATATCGAAAATCCTTTTTTTTTAAAAAAATAAATGTCGGGTCAAATTTTATCTGTTTTGTTGAAATTTACTAGGGATGTTAAGCGGTTCTAAGTGGTCCTAAAAGTCCCAAGAAAATTATAAAGAATTAAATTTACAATTTTATTATGAAACTTGTTTATTATAATGTTTTTATGAGCTACAAATGAAAATATATAATAAACCCTCTTGGAATCCCAGAATTTCTTAAAATTTAAAATTTAAGGACTTAAGACCGGGTCCCAAGGACCGGTCCTATACTTAGCGGTCCCATCAAATTGCCAATTTTGAATATTATTTTCGCTTTTTGCAAATTAATTATAAAATTTTTATGACATTTTTTTGATGGGGGTTACTTATCATAGATAAGTGATTAGACTTCTTAGAGTTAGTGATCTCTTAAATTGTAAGGACCGGTTAAGGACCGCTTAACATCTCTAAAATTTACAGTGATGTTCAAGAAAATAAAAAAATATTTGCAATGGTTTAATAGAAAGAGTTGAATTAGCTCGGATTCTATTAAAACTTTACTGAAAAAGGGCGGAGAATGAAAATTATTTCGATGACGATGATCGTTATAAGACTTTTTTAAGATTTTATGCAAATTTCGCAAATTCAATTATTTGAAAATTATGCAAAGGTCGACAGTCTTATTAAAGAACAACTTAATTCTTTAATCAAAGTGTTTGATGGCGTTATGAAAGTTTTGGACTTCACAAAGAAATTTGTAAATGTACAACAACGTGGTATTGATCAAAAAGCTCTTGTTAACAATAGTTCTGAAATGATCAAGGTAAGCCGTTTATAAATTATGTATTAATTCTTATTTTCTTATTTTATTTATTTTCTTTCTTTTAATAGTACCTGAGACATGTTGCTAAGGTTGAACTAATTAACTCAGTTCTTATGTCAATAAATAGTCCAACAGAACGAGATGATCCATTAGTTACAGACGTTACAATGGTAATTAGTGAATCTATTGAAATTGCTAAAAAAGCTCAATATAATAAAAGAATTTGTGGTACTTTAATGGATAGAGTTGAAACAGCTCAGGTTGTCATTAATCGTCTTAAAAAGAAAAAATGATAAAGCCTTTGAAATATTTGCAGATATCATGAGAATAATTAGAGATTTTATGAAGCAGGTCACCCAATTAATTAGATGTTGGAGGAGGTTTCAAAAAATTTTCGTATCCTAATTCTTTTAGAGATAAATATGATGATTTGATTAATGACCGTTATAAAAGATTTGAATTTAACAATAGCAATTGCTGATGAAGAACAGCGCAATAATATTTCCGAAATGACCAAGGTATTTATTAAATTTATAATAATTGTTATTTTATTCTTATTCTTATTCTTTTATATTCAGCTCTTGAAAAGGATTGATGATAATAAAGTAACCATAATAGAACCACGAGCTTGTAGATCCTATTGGAAGAAGAGTATCTGATCACCGTGGAAGTAAGAAGCATATTGTAAAAAAGACCTTAAAACAAAGTATAGCGTTGCTTGTATTCCTATCACCATCACAGAAGATAATTTACGAGTACTCAAAAGATTCAAGCACAACTTATGATTTTAAGAAAACTTCGAGATTCTCCCAATATTTTGAAATTTTATGGGCTCTCTAATTATGATAATCAACTGACCATTTGTATTTGAATGGGCCGAGTTAGTAAATCTCCGTGAGATTTATATAAAATCCGATATTCCTCGAACCTTAAAGTAAGTATTTTAATTTATGTATTTTTTTAGCTTTTTTTTGTGGTTTTTTTTTAATATTGATTTTCATTTAATTCTCCAGGTATCTATTGCTCTTGATATTTTGTCGTGGTATAATTTTCTTGCACAACCATTATATTTTTTCATAATGATATTCGTTGTGCAAACATAATGATGATTTCGCGATTAGAATCTAAAATTGCAAACTTTAATTATGCGATCGATGGTGGTTCTGAAATAAAACTAGTAGATCTAGAATCCATTCCAATCCCAAATGTGGATGATGTTGTTAATTGGATGGCCCCAGAAAAAATTGAAAATTTCTATTTATATCAATTTGACACAAAATGTGAAATATTTAGGTAATTTTCATTTATTTTAATATGAATTATAAATTTATTAATATTAAAATTTTTTAATTTTTTAGTTTTGGAATGTTGTTATGGGAACTTACTTTTGAAAGGATTCCTTATCAAGATTGGGATGTATCTAGAATCAAAAATCATATTTTAAATCATAATGGGGAAATTTTGAGCATCATCAAATTTAGGGATGGATCGGTCCTGGTAAGACCGGTCTTAGACCGGTTAATAGGACCGGTCCTTGCGGTCCTCGGTCCATATTTTGAGGACCGGTCCGGAC